AATCCGTCACACCGGCGTACGCGAACAAGCCCAAGGCCCAGGCATGTTGGTCGTGGAGGATAAAATAGCCCACAAACGGCGCGGCCACGAGGCGCGAAAGTGTCAGCAGGTTCGGGAGGGTACGGATGTCTTCGCGCAGGGTCGGTGGTAACGTGGGCAGCTTCGCGACGATCTTGCTTGCCGTGCTGCAGCAATCTCACACGTCAGCCTATGTATTGGGGAAGAGGGGCCTTGGCCGGGGGAAAGAAGGGGACAAACCTGGGTGGTTTACCATCGCTCTGCGATACGTAGGGAGCGACGAGCCGCGGCCGCGATTGACGCTGAGGCGGGTGGTTGAGAATGGCACTGGCAGTGAGCTTTAAGGTCGGCCGATGCCGTGCTGGTGACGGCAACGCATGGAGAAGGCGATTGCCACTGCTAGGACAGAAGCTGTTTTGTACACGACTGCATTGCGCCAGAGACAAAGCCCTGCGACCACCGAGCCTGACGAATGGCATCTCTGTGTTCTGGAGCACCGACGTAGACCGCAATTGAACTTCACTTGGTTTTCGCGCGATCGATTGGATGAGTGACGATCACGAGCTCACGTGCGGGTGGAGGACGTCGGGAGCTACCCCCCCTTGCTGTGCGCGCAGAGCTCTTTCCTCAACGGACGGGAAGCTTACCTTAGGTACCTTACTAAAGAAGGTACTCCGTACCTAATGTAGGCACCTTTGGTTTCCGTCGTTTGGTAAGCGTGAATCACCATTGGCCCGTGTCCCAAGTATGTCACGAACAGGAAACCTCTGCCACTAGCATATTCTTCTTTGCCGCATAGTTGACTGAATTTTCAATTGTCCTTAAACAAGGTAAGGTATGTTGAAGTGTAATGTAGCAAAGCGCCACTCTGTCTATGTAATCACTCTCATTGAATGGAGCACCACAGACTACGCATACCCGACTACCTAGACAAACGATCACATCGCATGATGATTCGTTGCGTTGAGTACAACATGCGTGTCTGCAGACTGTAACTGCCTTACAGGTAAACTTTTTGGTAGTCCCAAGAAACCCCCCTTTCCCTGTTCAGTATACATCACATACTCCTGGATCGTAGGTTGCGCTCAGCTTTGCGCACCTCTGTTTTCTTCCGGATCAAAAAACATCATCGCAAACCGCAACCTCGGCGCCGCGCTACCCAAGCACCTTGGCGCCTGAATTCAGAGTCTCCCTCTGTAACCTGAGGGATTTGATGACCCCGCAACATTTTCCACACTGTCGTTCAAGGGCAATCCTCTCTGGTGATTCGGTCCAACCAATGTTGGGTCCTCGTTCTATGTCCAGCGGCCTCATGTTGGACAAGTCCGGTAGTCGAGACGTGCAAACGACTCTAATCCTACTTCTCTTCAGGTCCTACCAAGCGAGTTGTTGTTGTTGCTACTGGGCCAGCCTGCACTCCCTTGCGGCATGTATTGACCTTGGTCGTCCTCGGCTATCTGGTCAAACGTGTTCCACGTATCGCGATTGAGCCCTTCAATAGGGAAGCCCTGGGCGCTTCTGTCACCGCCCATCCCGGATTCGTTGTGCACGTGGCGGGGAGACGGCGAGGGGAAGGGCTCATGAGGAGACATGTCGTGAGGGCGTTGTTGGGAATACAACATGGATGTCATGTAGTTGCCTCCCCCCATTGACCTTGACGGGTCGCTTGATACAGCTGGCAAGCTGCTAGCAAGACCCATTTCGGGGCCCGTGACGGGCTCGTAAGCTGTTGAGTGTCGTCGAGGATGGTGCTGTGACTCGAGTGCCATGTTTCGAGACATGTCGGGAGCCAAGCCAGCACTTGACGGATACCGGCCTGCACGGCTCAGGCTATCATATGCGTAATTTGGGTGTTGAGGCTGCGCATAGCCAACGTTGCTGACGGACCCGGGGACTGGATTCATATACGACATGTACGGTGGATGGCCGAACTGCGCCGCAGGCATTCCGCTCATGTGTAGCGAAGGCACCGACATTGCTCGTGACAGGCTCTGGTGGTGGCCGTTAACGGGATAGTGTTGCGCGAAAAGTCCGTGACCTCCTCGGGAGTCGTCCATCTCGACCTCGTCAATTGGGGCGCGGAAATTTTGCGACATGATCAACTCCCCTCTAGGAATAATGGTAGAGAGCTGGTGATCTTTGGAAGGGGTCATCAGCTTGCCCTCTGTGACATCTTCGACGTTGTAATAGGACACCAGGTGGTGCGGCACGCCCTGGTAAGTCACACTGATCGTCTTCTTCACCAGACCGTTTTCCTTGAAGGGATACGAGTCGACTAGGGATCCAATCAATGCTCGCTCCGCGTCCTTGTTGCCGCCTTGCGAGCCATCCCCCATGCCCATAGTAGACGCAGCTCCGTTGACGCTGCCTTGGCGCGCGACCTCAGGCTTCGTTACACCTGTGGGTTTTTTGTTACGTTTCATGGCGCGCTTCTTTTCGCCCGGCGGGAACGGCCGGTCGAGTTCGCGGTAGATGAGGAAGTTGCCGAGGATACGACTGGGACTCCAAGCAACTCCGTCAGTCCAGCGCTTGATGCCGGACGAGTGCTCCTCGTAGATGAAGACATTGCCGCTCTTGATGAGATCCTGGCGTTCGCGGTCGTGTGGTCTGCGGGGGACATGGTGTAGTGCACTGCTCAGACATGCTTCAAAGAGAACCAGAGCGTCGAGGGTGGAAGCAACGTGGCCGATGAAGGTTGGGTTTAATGGGACGTTGGAATTCGCCATTTTTGGCTTCCGGTTGCGCCGAGTCTAATCGTGTAAGTTACGTTGAACGTTTGCGGTAACGATGGTAGAGTTGCGCCACTTACCGGCAGTACGTGTATGCGTTGGAAAGGAAATGTTGAATAGAGTGTGAAAGGTTCAGTCCTCCCAGATGATGGTGATGATGATGGGGAGGAGAAGGGAAGCGAAGCTAGCCCTGCTGACTTGACTAGCGAGTGCTCGTGAGAACAGTGATGGAGCCGCGCAGTTGAGCGTGATGTTGAGACTAAGACGCGCGAGGATGGAAAGAGGAGGGCGTAGACAGAAGGAACGCCAGTGGGAGGAGGAGGGAAGAAAGTCTTTCAACGGCGACAAGAAGATTAAGACTTGTTAAAGCTAAATTTCCAAAGCGTTTCTGCGAAGGAGAGAAGAGGGAGGGGAATATAATGGGCAGGAGGGTAAGGTAAGGTACCACACGGTACGTGTGTGGAGCTCTGAATCTGCAGCAAGACGCGGGACCGTGGTTCGCCCTGCGCTTATCGTAGTATCCAGGTCGCGAGACTGTATGCTTCCGAGCGCCTCCTTGTTCACCTTTCCGTCTTCTGGTTCAGCCACCGAGAACAGAAGCTGTGTTGGAAGACTCAAGGTTACCGTCACCTGACGCGTGAGGCTTGGGTGTGGGATGGCGCGACGGGCTCAACGCCTCTGATCGGAGAGAGTATACAGTTCTGGACTGGCCCAAGCAAGAGGAGGAGCTTGAGGACGGAATGTGTACGGCCAGAAGCAGCAGGCAACGGGATAGAAATTCGTGTATGTCTATGGCTTGTGGCTTGCGTGGGTCAGGAACCGGAGGTTGATGGTGAGATCCAGTGTTTTAAGGTTTGTCAAGCGTAGCACGGTTGAATGTTGGCGGCGTGTTAGCTGCGCGGTCTGGGTTTCTCTCTTTCCTGTCGGGGCGGTTTGCGGTGAACTGGTGGATGTCCAGGTTCCAGAACAATTACTGTGGTATAGGTTCCGAGGAAGGAGGATGATTATGTGTGTGTGTGTGTGTGTGTGAGGGAGAGAGAGAGAGAGAGAGAGAGAGAGGGAGAGAGAGAAAGAAGGAAAGAGGCTCGTCCTTCTCACTGGGAAGAGAAGGAGTGATGAGAGTTAGAGGTAGGTGGGTGCGGAGGATGAGGAGCAGCTAACTGGCGAGATTCTTGTTGCAAAGGAATGAGCGTGGGTGGTGGTTGATGTATGCGGTGTGATGTACTGTTGTGCTGTGCTGTGCTTTGGTTTGCCTTGCTTTGCTGCAGTGGGTGGAACGGACCCTGAGATCTTAGATGTCGGGAAGGGAGTAAACAGAAGGGAGGGCCTCGGAGGTTTTTGATTTCTTGAACCGAGTGGTTGAGCCTCGAACTTCTGGTATCCTGAGCTTCGGATGCTAGGGACTGCAGCAAGAAGTAGATGAAGTAGTCTGCAGACTGGATGTCGCCGAGGACTTATATGAATGTCGGTGCCCGACGGTAAAACTGGTAATTGCGCGTGAAGATCGGGAGACTGGATGAAATAATATGTCCATGTACTCTTTTTGCAGTGCAATCAGGGGAGGAGTGAGGTGAGAGAGCGCGCGCGCGCCCACGGCAGCCGAGAACAAGATGGAGGTGCCTCGAGCTCAGAGAACCAGGATAGTACAGACAGGCCTGGGTTAAGACAATAGACAGGGCAGATCGGACCCAGGGCTCAAGGCGGGATGCCGACGTAGGGCCAGGCAAGGTGCCGCGGTCGAGGAGATCAGGAAGCTGTTTGAAGCCGAGCAAGGGTAGCAGATGAAGCTCTACCATGTACGTCGAGAGCCAAGAAAGACAAGGCGGACGGGGCAGAGGGCAGAGCGGCGTCGGCGGTAGCGGCAGCACAGGATGTATCCTTAGAGGAGGTGGAAGTGGAGGAGGTGGAGGGGAGAAGGTCAAGGTCAAGGAGGGCCAGAGTGACGAGTGACGACGGGACGGACGAGGTGGAAAGTGACAAGCATTCGCGAGAAAGAGAGAGAGAGATCAGTCGCATCAACAAGAGGTACGGGTAGATAGAACACAGGTGCGGGAGCCAGAGCCTAGAAACAGAGCCAAAGAGTCAGTACCCTTTTCCCTCCAAAGCAGAGCCGGTGGGTGTGGAGGCAAGCAGGACAAGGCGGAGGGAAAGACGGCGGCGGCGGCGGGCGGCGGCGGTGGGACTTGGACTAGGATTGGGACTACTTACTGGTAACTGTGTATCCGTAGAGGACGCAAAGACACACAACCCAGCTCACAGGATACAGGGGGGTCGAGCTAAGAAGGGTATGGGGTGTGAAGAGTGAGAGGGGAGAGAGTGAGAGAGAGAGACAGAGAGTGAGAGAGAGAGATGGGGTACAAGAGGAGTGTGGATTAGAGGCAGGGGGGAGGGCGTGTGGGAGAGACGGGGAGAAAGAGGGAGGGAGTGCGATGTAAGAGAGGAGGACGGTAAGAGTGAGAGAAAGGGAAGAGAGTGAGAGAGAAACAACAGTGCAGCGGGAGGAGTGCCTTGGGTATCCATCCGTATGAGAAAGAAGACGGTGGGCAATGGAAGGAGGAGTAAGTAAGAGACGGGCGGGCAGAAAAGAGAAGAACGACACAGAGAGAGAATATTTGGTGTGTGTGTGTGAGTGTGCGTGTGTGTATCCGTACGTGTGTGTGTAGTGTACAAAGTACATACCATGCCTTGGATGATGGTGGTGGACCTGGAGAGAAAAAAGGACGTGCCAGATGCTGGGGGAAACGCTCGGCGATCAAAAAAAGCAGAAAGGAAATACCTCGACCAAGTTCAAGCGGGGACCAAGTCGGCAGGGCCAGGTAGAAGCAGGGTAGGTATCGTATCCGACCAAGACTAGAGAGACAGCGAGAGAAAGAGAGAGAGAGAGAGAGATGTACAGCTGTGAGTACCATCACCCGTACCTGCGCCAATGCCAATACCAGTTAATGCCAGCGCCATCCATGGTGTGGCAGACCCAAAGTGTGTGCAAGAGAGCATGGACTTTTCCCCTGCTGCTGTTGCTGCTCATCAGTGCTCACTCACTCACTCACTGACTACTTCCCCCCCCCCCCCCTTCTGTTCCCTACTTCTCATAGGATACCAACCTACGGATACCTATGCAGCACAGCCTTGAGATGGGCACTTGTCAGGACCAATGGGTGGGGTGACTGATGGTGGATGAACAAGATGGGCGTTGTAGATGGCACCAGGACTCGACTGGGCTGGGCTTGAGTCGACTGAGTCGAACCGACCAAGCGTGCCAAGACCTGCTGCGCTCTCTCTACCCGTACGGTACCTCTGGGCGTGTTATTGCTGTGGCTCTTCCGACTTCTTAGTCTGTCTGCCACTCTACAGCACCCTGTGATGCTATCTCATCCATAGCCATCTCTGGCTTGGCATCTGTGCCGGTGCTGATATTTCTATCCGTAGATGCTTGGCATGGGCTGCCCGTTCTGCTGTAAGTCGGCAATACCATGAGCACATCCTGCCGAAGACCAAATTCTGCCATACAGCGTGTGCAAGGCAACAGGCAGAGACCAGATGCTGGTCGGAAGCAGCTGCTCCTATTGTTGTTGTAGTAGTTGTAGTAGTAGTTGTTGCTGTTGTTGATGTCGTCGTCCCTCGTTCTAGTATTGGTATTGGTGTGGGACGCATGGTCAAGGTTGGGTGAGGGAAAGAGTCCGACAAGGTTAAGCTCAAATGCCTCAAGGTAAGCTTCCCACACAAGGACCGAGAGGGGAGATAAAGAAAGAGCTTGGGCAAAGCAAGGCGACGGGATCGAACGACAACTGCTGGCCGGTGCTTGATGCTTGATTCGGGTTGGTAGCCATAGTTTGCCTGATTTACTTTTTGGCTTTTGATGCCAACTATTTGGCGGGTCGACGGGAGCAAAATCTTTTTCTCGTATTTCTGCTTGACCTGTATTGTCATGCCCTGAGCATTGTTTGAAGCCAATTACGGCAGCTTTCGATGAAACAGATGTCGACAACGAATACATCACCAGCTACGGCAAACCAATACTGAGTACGATTGCAACAGTGACAAGGAACGCGAGAGCCGAGACGGACAAAGGTAGCTGACACTTGGTATGCGCAACGGCAAAGATACATGAGGGCAGATAAAACATGCAATGAACTTGATGTTGAGGGATCTGGGTATGAGCTGCGGTTGGTGGTCCGGCGTCATGGCAGAGTACAGAGAAACGGCTGTGCAATTGCAGAATTGGATACTTAGCCATACCTATCTCTTCCTGGCAGCGGGGAGCTGCCCGACGACAAGGAAGGGGGAGTGTGAGGCCACTGTGTGTGTTTGGACCAATTCCTCTCCAATACTCCAAAGACTGCTTGAAGGCCTTGCGAGGCCAAGCGGTGCTGAGCACCTGCAAGTTGAGGGGAGCAGTAAATCACCGAGCGTTCAGTGTCCGCGAGGTGTCAGCGCCAAGTTTGTGCTCGGATTGACACATTCAAAATCGGGGAGGAGACTGGTCGACATGGACGAGGACGAGGACAAAGACGGCAACGAACGGTTGGATTGAAGGAAAAGAAACAGGATGGATAGACAGGAAAGGCAACTATGAGCTAGATAGGATAAGGTCGGATGGACAGGATGGGATGGGATAGGCGTTAAACGGTCGGGTGGGAGTGAAAAGGAAAAGGTGAGAAGAGGAGGGAAGGGGGGGGGGGCATAGAGATGAAGATGCAAGAGGGACAAGGCGGCGATGAGGGCGGAAGATGGGCACGGCCAGAGGTATCAGGAAGAGGGAAGAGGCGAGCCGGCGGCGACAACGTCGACAACCACACCAGATCGTTGAAACGTAAAAGGTGGATGCGCAGGTGGTGCGGTATCTGTCATGTCATTGGCAATTACTGGTTGCTATTGATGTCGAATCCTCTTGCTTTGGGGATCTGTATGCACTCCGTATGGAAGTCGCAAGAGGTGATGAAATAGACCTCTTCGGGACGAGGCGTACGCCCCACCAAGACGTTTCTGTCAAAAGGAAGGCACAGAGTACCTATGGAGTATGGGGACGTATCGTCAATTTGACAATAGGAAGGAACTGTTCTTGGGGTTCTCTCTCCCCCGTTGCCCCCTTGCAGTTCCCGTCACCTTCCAAGTTTCCACTCTTTATTACGGATACATTGTCCTCAGGGTACCTAGGTTGCCTTGACTGGAGAATTAAGACATCTGGGCCCCAAGTCTAGCCAACCCACTCAAGGGAGAGATGAAAGCATGCACGTGCCTGCTAGTGCTTTTTCGGCAGACCGTCTCTCTACAATACTTCCACTCCATGCCTCATGTAGGTATCCTGCCTTATTATGTAGGACTGTATAAGGTAAATTGCAATGGGCCAAGAGGCATGAACCGTCAGGTAAAGCACGGCGTCCGACATGCCATCGCTTGTGGCATCCATCCCTTCCAATACAAAAGGACTCTCGACACTGACACTCTGATACCTCTGATACCTCTGATACCGTAACGTCTACGGATACCCAACGGCTGGCCCTTGCACCATGCCTTGGCTGCCTGACCTTCTGCTACAACACTGGATGGAACCTCTCATGACCCGCCAGCCAAGAAGAGGGCACGGTCGAGCCGGTAGAAGGCGGCAGCGGTGGGGAGCCGTGGCAAGAGGAACAGAAGGTTACGGGAAGGGAAAGGCAGCGCAGGGAGAGCACAGGCGGCGGGCTCGGGAGCCAAAATGTTGAAGAAAACAAGGAGGGAAACAGAAGAAAACAAAGCCAGCCCGTCGTCCAATTCCAAGCTTCCCTGTCTTGCTTTGCGTGCCGTGTGAGAGCCTAACTTGAGACAAGGAACATGTCTGCGCCGAACATGTAGAAGATCGCTACTTCGCGCACACAGGCCACCAGATGCGCCAGAAGTAGCGAATTACCCAGGGATAGCAACTTCGTTGTGGCTGTCGTCAACAACAGAGCGCTCATACGGGTCAGTGAGTGTATCCAAGGGCAGCAGACGGTAATCAGAGACTACTTTGTAAATGCAGAGGAGAAGCAGATTTGACGCCTGTGCTGCAAAGTTGGGGAAGAATGTTAAGTAAGGTCAAAAGACAAGGGTCGAGGGGCCGCTAAATTTCATCTCGACGCATCCATGGCGACAACCAGCCTCTTGGCTACGGCACCTGGTCCCCTACCTGCCCGTTGGCAAATCTCGCCCGTTGAGAATTATTTCATTTCGTCCAAGGCGAGGCTAGGCTACGCCGAAGTGAAGGGTTCAGCAAAAGAACACAACCATCGCAGGGTTCGATGCGAGCGAGGCTGATTGATGCCCCCCCTCCAAGTACGAATAGGGCTATCAATGCAACTGCCGCGTCAGTCATACCACGCTTGCGCCTCAAGACGCTCATTGTGGATGAAGTGATGACACTAGAACGGAAAGCGAGAGGGTATGAAGAAGAAGTGAAAGGAGGAGTGCGTAAGGACCAGTGAACAACACGTAAGATGAGGCATCATCGACCATCGAGACGAACTTCTTTTAGGTGAGGCGAGTACCATCGAAAACGCTTTGGCTCAACATAGCCTAGGTGTTCTTGCATAGTAGCAGTAACCAGTGGATAGGTAGGTGTGAGGGAGTGATCCCGATTGCGAGGATAATTTCCATCTGTAAACCCCTTCCACGTTGTTCCAACACTACCTTGACTTGGGTAGACCGTAGGAGGGTCATCGAGACCACAAGGGGTACGTATGTATCCGTACGTGCGTGCCTGCGGGTGACATCTTCTTGGTCTCTCGTAATCGAGGACTGCCTCCGCCAACCACGTCTATATCGGCAGACGGGCTCTTTTACCCCAGTTCCGAAGCGCGTCAGGGACAAAGCCGAAAGACAAGGCCGGGAAATGCAAAGTCAGCTCCCATCTCGAGAATTCCTCTTTCGTACTGGTTTCGTCCTGCAGCCTCTTGTGTTTGTCCCGACTGCGCCGGGCGCGAGAGTGAGACAGGACGGAGCTAGGCTGATGGATCCCCCCAGCTTCACTCCATACTCCATCCGGTGCTTGGGTAGTGTGCGAAGAGTTCGTCGTGTCCTCGAGGTACTAGGTAGTGACACAGGCATTCTGTCACAACTCATTGACTACACGTCGGATGCTAGTAGAAGGAGCGTGATATGGTGTGCGGCGGGTACAATCATGGATTGATTCAAGCACTCACTCTCTGGAGGTTCAAACTTTCTCGCCGTCGTTCACCAATGCACCTTTTTTCCTTCTTTTTGCCAATAACCAACCGTCTGTGCCTGCTGTTCGTAGAATTGGGTTATTTTTGACATTTCCAATCTGCTTACCGTTCTTGTTACCTTTCCGGTCCCTTGCCCTGCCTCGCCCGCTTCCCGCGTGGCATGCTAACTTGACTGCGGTTTTGCCTTTGGTCGATGTCACTCTAATAGATTGTCATCAAGAAAACTTTACTCCGTCCCACCACCCCCGGTGGTTTGGTGTAGCCTGTAGGCTCGGATGCCTGCAGCTTTGCTTCCCACCCAGCGCGGCTCCAAAGTCGCGCGTATTGTGCTTAATTGGA